CGGGTACGGGGGTGTTGGTGGGGTTATTAGGGGTTCTGGACCCCAATTTTATTATTAGTATTTATTTTTATAAAATTTTATTATTATTATTATTTTGTTTGCGGGGTGCCGACCATCGGGGTATGCAACCCTGGCCAAACAGCAAAAAATGCCATGGTTTTGCGGCCACACTTTGCCCGCCCGCCCACCAAATTCACATTCGGTGTGGCAAAAGTCTGCGGCCTGCAGGGCCGTGGAGTTGAGCAATTTGCCACCACCTCTAGAGGGGTTGGCGATTCCCGCGCCCCTCCCCCCCCAACAAAAGAGAGAATTGCACGCATCCATCCACTACTTTTGCTGTGTGACCACCAAAGTGGGCAATTTCACAAATGGCAGGGCATCGGGGCATTGTCTTTTCCGATTTGCTAACTGTGTAACTGTGGAACACCGCAAACAATAAACTGGGAGTAGCTAACGTGGCAAATTCTGTTGTTTTGCTTCCCCTGCGTGAGTATGCCCTAATTTTGTTCATCTGTTTGTGTCTGGATTCGTACATTGGGTTTGTATTTCAAGGGTTAATGGCCACACCAACTGAGCTGGGTGCGTTGGTGGTTTGTATATTTATGGGATTTGCCGCTGGAATGAATGCCTTGCTGAAATTCCAGTATTCTGATGTGATTTCCATGTCTGTGTGTGTGCATGCCTGCTGGTTTGCATGCCTGTCTGAGTGCTTGTCGGCTGATTGTGTGTGTGACCCGCAAGGGTACTTGTTGGTTGAAGGGCCCCGCAGGGCCGGTACTTACCTGTGGCCGTGACTTTGAGGGTTGCAGGGGGGAAAACACTCAAGTAGCAGGTAGGCCGGTACCACTCAAGTAGTGGTAGGGGTGTCGGGTACTGGAGGCCGAGCAGAAGACGACAAAAAGTTGGCATTTTTAGAGGCCCAGTAGCGGTAGGCCGGTACCAGTCCAAGTAGCCCGGGTCTCGGGCCTGTACGGAGGATAGCAAACGCATGCCCAGCCACAAGGTAGCTACCTCCACGTACATGCGTGAGCTCTACGCCTTGCGCGAGGCGCTCGCACATTGGAAGCACTACCTCTTGGGTCGTCACTTCAAGGTCTACTCAGATCATCAGACCTTGCAGTGGATTTAGACACAAACTGATCTCTCTCCTACATTGACCCGCTGGTTCCATGACATTGATGTCTATAGCTTTGAGTTGAAACACAAGAAAGGCTGTTATAACCGGGTCGCTGATGCGTTGTCCCGTCATCCTGAATTTTTGACTTGCCTCGTGGGTTCGTATGACCTCCGAAGGAAACTGAAGGAGGATCTGGTCGAACACACCGCCAAGGATCCGGACCTTAGTCCCATCCTTGAGCAGCTCAAGGATGACCCTAACAGTCAGCCTGATTTTCATGAGTGCGAGGGTCTTGTATTCCGCCGGTATGGGAAGTTTGATCGTTTGTGTGTACCCAACCATGCGCCTCTCCGGACTCATTTCTTGGATTTGGCACATGGTCGGAGTGGACACTTCGGCTTTGAGAAGACTTATGGAAGTCTTCTGCAGCAGTTTGATTGGTCGGGAATGAAAGGATCTGCTCAGAAATTTATTGCTGAATGCCAAGTTTGTCAAAGAGTCAAGGTCCATAGGCATAAGCCGTATGACCTGCTGAAACCCCTCCCAATTCCTGATGGACCCGGTGAGTCGATTTCCATTGACTTCACAGACATAGGGAAGGTGAGTGAAGCAGGGAATTCACAAGTCATGGTCATAGTGGATCGTTTCTCCAAATTTCTGAATCTGATTCCTTTTCCGCCCCATGCCCCAACTGAGCTTGTCATCGAAGAGTTCCATCAGCAGTATATTTTGCAGTATGGCCAACCGAAAACCATTGTGAGTGATCGGGACACCCAATTCATTAGTAAAGATTGAAAGGACTTCACTTCTCAGATCTACGACATTATGCTCAACAAGACTTCTGGTCGACACCCCGAAGCCAATGGACTGGCTGAGGAGATCAACCAGACTGTCATCCAACTACTTCGCGCATTGATTGTTCCATATCAGAACACGTGGGACAAGGAGTTGCACAAAGTGAAGGGACTGTACAACAACTCCATTCACTCTGCAACTGGTGTGACACCAAACCAGTTGCAATACGGATGGCCGATGCGTAATCCCCTCTCCTATTTGTTCCCCGAACGGTCACCTGGTCTGATGCCCGTTGCACGCTTGCTCAAAACTGTTATTGCAGCCATGAACAGGCGCCAACATGCGATGATCAAACATGCTAACAAGTTGCGCAAAGAAGCAAAATGCAAAGTAGGGGATTATGTTTGGGTCAAAATGTCTGAGTTTTCTGATGAAGAGGGCGTATCACGAAAGCTTCCTCCATTGTACTATGGCCATTGGCAGATTCTGAAGGTGATTGGGGATGATTTTGGTCCTTCATATGTGATTGACGTGCCTCCTCAACTGCACACGTATCCGGTCTTTCATGCGTCCAAACTGTTCCCACACATTGATGATGAAACTTTTCCCTTCCGAGACCCTATGATACCTCGCTCTTTCGATGGCGGCCATGAGATAGACGGAATCGTTTCTCACGAGGGAAGAGGGAGGAACAGACAGTACAAGGTTCACTTCCTCTATCACCCGTTGACTGAATTCTTCTGGATCGACCAAAAAGAGCTGCTAAAGAATGCTCCCCGTGTTGTGAACGCTTATGAACGTCAGATCGCTGAGGGACAGACTGCTAAAATTGTTGCAAAAATGACTCCTCACGGACTTACTAAGTCTCTCTTTCTGATTTACTCCTACGATGCATTTTGTGCCAACTCCGGATGAGTTACTCGCTCGAAGGGACCTCGCTCTTGAGAGGGGGGTAGTGTAATGACCTGCCAAAAACACAGACTAAGAACACTGCTGATTTCTGGGATTTGCCGCTGGAATGAATGCCTTGCTGAAATTCCCGCATTCTGCTGTGATTTCCATGTCTGTGTGTGTGCGTGCCTGCTGGTTTGCATGCCTGTCTGAGTGCTTGTCGGCTGAGTGTGTGTGTGACCCGAAAGGGTACTTGTTGGTTGAAGGGCCCCGCAGGGCCGGTACTTACCTGTGGCCGTGACTTCGAGGGTTGCAGGGGGGAAAACACTCAAGTAGCAGGTAGGCCGGTACCACTCAAGTAGTGGTAGGGGTGTCGGGTACTGGAGGCCAAGCAGAAGAAGACAAAAAGTTGGCATTTTTAGAGGCCCACCAGCGGTAGGATAGCGGTAGGCCGGTACCAGTCCAAGTAGCCCGGGTCTAGGGCCTGTATGGAGGATAGCAGAGCCTGCAATGATGTTTCCCTCTGAAAGGGAAGAGTTACCGGTTGCTGGGAGGCCGCTCGGCCTAGGAAGTCACCGCCCAGGAGGCCGGTAGGCCGCTATATCTCCAGGAAGAGCAAAGAGCTCTTCCTCATTTGCGATGTGCAAGGATTGGCGACATGCTGCTGGAGCACAGCGCTGGAGGGTACAGCGCTGCTTGGAGGTGAAGGGCCGCTGGAGCTCAGCCTGGCTATGGCGAGCAGTCCAGCTGGAGGAGGAGGAAGAAGGGGGTGAGGTAGGAGAGTGGCGAGGCACCTACATGGCTATGGTGGACACCGTCTTCAACACCTTGTTAGGCGCTGCATCTGGAAGGCCCCAGTGGGGGTAGTGCTGCACCAAGGAAGCTTGAGGCAGAGTCAGGCATGGCGGACCAGCCAGCAGCGGCATAGCTGTCTGGGTTGTCCGTTGGACATCAGCGCAGCACCATAGCCGTCTGGGTTGTCCTTTGGACATCAGCGCAGCACCATAGTTGCCCCATTAGTCCGCCATGGCCTATGCATGAGAGAGGAGGCTGAAGGAGGGAAGCCATAGCTATGGTGGAATGGTTGTTGTTGTTGTTGTTGAGTTGAGTCAGCAGTAAGAGGGAACTTCGGATATCGATTCTGGTTCATCCATTCATTGTTATTATTATTGTTGGGAGAAGAATAAGATTGGCGAAGTGAAGGAGGAAGAGGAAGGTGGAGAGAGAAGGGGAAATTGTCATTGGTCTTGCTGGTGTACTTCTTCTTCTTCTTCTTCTTCTTCTTCTTCTTCTTCTTCTTCTTCTTCTTCTTCTTTCCCTCTCCTCCGGTCTCTATCTCTTTCCAAGTGCTTTCATTTCTTTCGCAATTGGGTGGCATTGTCTTTCATTGTGAATTTGCACTTTGGAAATGACCAGGATCATAACACACTGAGAAATGTGCATTTTCTGAGGAAGGTGCTGTCTCCAATCTGTTTTGCTGACATTTCCCAGTGTGAGTCCATTTTGCTGTGTTCTTTTTTCGAAGTCTGTGTCGTCTTCCAATGATCAGTGTGTTTTGTTTGCCTGAGTCCATCTCCCCATGCTAGCTGTGTTTTTGTGCCTTGGACAGGTAGGTCAGCGTGTAAGTGTATTGACAGGCGGCACAGGCCTGAAGGGAGAACTTACCTGTCTGGAAAGGTTAGGGGTAGAAGTCGAATATGCCAAGGACCCAGCATGCCTAATGTCTTCACCCGAATAGAATGTCCAGTCATTATTGCTGTTTCTAGACTGAAAGTTGCCCAAAAGACAGCTATAGTGACCGGGCGATCTTATCGGGTGAAGATGGTAGGGAGGCACAGGCTTCTCATAGGGTCTATAGGCCTACAAACCCGGATTAACCACTGAACTTGGCCCATCATCTGGCCCACCCTGACTGGCAGATGGCCCAATTGGTCCTCGTGGTCACTCCTGTGGACCCTTGACTTAGGGTCGGCCACTGCGACGTCTGGAAGTCAGTGTAGGCCAAGTGGGATCACTGGGATGAGAGTCCAGGGACTCTTGAGTTCCAGATCAACCACTGAACTTGGCCTCACGTCTAGTCCTACTCTGACTTTGGGACATTCCATTTGGCACATCTTGAGGGTCCTGCGAACGATGTCTGACGTGTGTCATGTTGCTGTGGTCTGTTTTTGGGATCTTAATTTGTCAGAAAGGTGCGCAATCATTTCTCTCTCCATTCAATCCTCCTGCCCAAGGAGGATTTCCTGCCGCTGCTGATAGCAGCAGAAAGGGAGGAGACGTTACCGATCTCGGACGAGCTGCAACCGAGTCTGGAACAGCTGCAACCGAGGCCAGGCGTTCGGGAAGAGGATCGATATTTGCAACATCCTTCATATCCAAACCGGGGCAGCAAAAACCTGGCCCAAGTCAGCAGGTTAATCCTCCTGGCATTCAGGTATCTCCTCCAGCCTCCCAGGGTTATTTCCCAACCTCGCCGTTTTTCCCTCCTGGCTCAGAAGGCTTTTCTTCTAGCTCGCAATTATATCCTCCTGACAGCGTACTCCCTACTCCATCCGCACGCAGCTTCAGCGACCCTGAGCAAGTTGCATCTGCCTCACAGTCATTCTCCCCTCACCGCCTTCAGGAAAGCCTCCAGGAGAAAGAAAGCGCAACGGGGTCTACAACACGGAGTCAAGTTACATCATTTGTATCGCCTGTAATTCCTGCTCCAGATTCAATGAAGACAGTGGCAGCCGAGTCGGTCGTAGAGGTGCACCGTCCCAATGTCACACAGTGGAATCCAATTGTGCCATTTCCATCCCCTGTCCTACCGTCAGGGGGAACAAAGCAAACAGCAACAAGTGAACCCAAATCAAGTAATTCCCATCTTGAGGACTTACTATGGATGGGGGAACGTCGTCGTGGATTTGAGCAGCACGGGGAGGGGAGTAGGTCCGAGGTGCCAAAGCAACAGGTAGCGGCAGGGGAAGTGAAATGGGGCAAGTATTTGAATGAGGACATTGGACGGAAGGAGGGAAGGCCTCCGGTGCTCGAGTTTTACAGGGAGGAGGGGAGGGTCGAGACGTCACAACAAATGCGAGGGCAAGAGGGTAGTAGAACAGATCGTGCTGGCATGCGGCAGCATCATGGAAAAGATGATGATGGGGTGAAGAAGGGAAGCGGGCAACGGAGTGAAAGCATGGATGGCAATGACGATGAGTGGAGAAGGCTATTGCTCTCAAAAGCACGGGATTGGAGGCAAGAGAAAAAAGTAGGGAGGGGAGATGGGGAATCAAGTGATGAGGAGTACACGGATGTCACTGTTGCTGCAGCAGCTGCAGTTACGGCTGCAGAGCGGGCCGCCAGTGCGGCAAGGGCAGCAGCAAGATTAGCCTTTAGGTTGGGTGAGCAAAGCATGCAGGAGAAGTCGACCGATGGGAGAGGCTCTGAAAGGAAGGTGGTTTATGAGGAAGCGATGTCAGTTGCCCCTAAGACGGCAGAGGCCAGGAGGTCAGCAGGTCACGCGAGTTTGCATGCAAGGGATCATTCCCATCTGGATCAGGCTGACGAAATTCGCAAGGGAAGGAACGAGCTTAGAGGGTGCATGCGACATAAAGAGGAGCACTTGGTCATGGAGCATCGCGGCCAGGACGAAGTCACCAAAGATGAAGGGACGGGATCAAGTGGTCAGCATGCCTGCAGTCAGGACCAACAGCCTGGCAATGAGCTGGGTGGTGAGCAGGCGATCTTCCGGCAAGCTGGCTGGCAGGCGCGACCAAGCCACGGCCTAGTTGAAGGCACAAAAGACCAGGACGCAAGAGCTGGGAGAGGCGTTTCTCCCTCATCACAAAGTCCAACAACGACGAGAAGCAGTTTGGACATGAACAGGTCTGTTGAGCAGGATGGGATGCCCGACGACCTCTCGGCCAGGACAATGCGACAGCCTTCCCCAGAGCGGGCTTCAGGGGCTGGCATTGGCACAGAGAACTATCCCCCATCTTCCACACCCCTCCCTTTTGCAAGCCCACAGAGAGAAGGGCGCGAACGTGCCGTGGGCATCTCGGTGCGAACAAGGCCTACCTCACCCTATGCTGCAATGAGACAACCCCCACAAGGGTCCCAAGAAGGGGTTGATGAGGGTATTCTAAAAATGTTTTCCCATGGTCCAGGAAAGAACATTGCAAGTGCACAGCAACCAACCGATCAAGGCATGCAGAAGACGGGGACACAACAGTCAGCTGATGCAGCAAAGGAAAGGGCAGAATTGCAACGACCAACCTTTCGGTTGACCCATAGCTGGGATGATGATGATGATGATGATGACGATGATGCACGCGCTGGCGGAGGGAAGGTGTCTGCTACAAGGAAGAAGAATGCTGAAGATGCAACTGAAGAATTTGATGATCTTGACTTCCCGCCTCCGCCAACCGCTCACGCTGAAGATGCAAGTGAAGAATTTGATGATCTCGACTTTCCGTCTCCTCCGACCGCCCCTGTTATCTTCAAACCCAGTTAATGTCAGTGAAGTCCATGCCTGATATGGACAATGTTTGAATGGCGATTTGACTCCACGTCGGGACCACAATCTCGATATCCCAGCGACGGGAATCGGATGGCAGTGATGTGAGATTGGCAGCATGAAGAACTCCAGGAATGTCATTCAGTTCAGCCGGCAGGCCATGAATGGTGATTCTCTCTTTTTCTGTGGGAGCTAAGTGGATGGTGATCATGCACTCCCCGCAATTCCCCTCGGCATCTAGACCAGTGGAATAGTGCACATGATGAGAGTTGTGCAGAAGGCTTTGACACTGGATCTATATATAGATCACTCCAAGGGACTGGGGATATGGATCAGGGGATATTCACACTAGGACTTTTTTTATTAAGCTGTGGACTGGATTGCGGTTTAGATTCATCCAGGTCTGGCCGTAATTGCTGCAAGATACATGCAGGAAAGTGCTAGTGTGAGTATAGCCTCAGCATGCGGTTGGATATTCTCTCCATGCCGTGACTGTCACAGTACAAGGCGAAGTTGGGTATTCTCTCCACGCCACCAGCGTCACCATACAAGGTGACAGACGACACATGCTCCTGATCAGTTAGTTGGGTACTCGGGTTCCGGGACTAATAACGTCATATGAATACACATGGAAGTAGCAAACCAGGATATAGCAGTGGGGTAGAGTAAAAAAAGTGGACACAGAAAGAAAAGTCATGGCAGCCTCTGTCGTTCGCATCTGGCATGGCTTTGTGGAAGTCTATGACAGCTTCATGCTGACTTCATAAGAGCTGGATCCCTGGTAGGTGATCCGGTTCGATTGTGTGATTGCATCTGTGTGTGTGTGTGTGTGTGTGTGTGTGTGTGTGTGTGTGTGTGTGCGCCGAAACTGAAAGCGAATGCTGTGAATGCTTCTGAGCAGTTGGTGCTCAGAGATTCTATGCAAGCATGTTGCATCTGAGCATTTTGCTGAAGGCGTGTTCACACTAGCTCTATCTGACTGCATTTGCGGCTGGTCCTGGATGTATCTGACCACAATTACGTCCATAAATAAGCAAAAACGTCATTGTGTGAATGTATGGCCTAATTGTGACCATTTTCCCGACCCTCTGGCCTCGGCAATGGTCAAGATTTCTGGATGCCTAGCCTGCACTGCGATTACCCGCAGCTCTGGGCGACTCAGCCGCCCCGAGGTTCCACTTGCTGGCTCAGCTGCAGCCAACGCTAGGCAGCAGATGCTGAATGCAAATCAAGTTTGTAATATGATGGCAGGACTGGGGGCAGAATCAAAGAGAGAGTTCGGGTCCTGCTGTGCAAGTAAGGAAGGAGACGGCCCCTTCCTCAACTCTTTCGATCTGAGCTTGTGTTATAGCTTCCATGACAAACAACTGCGTGCTGTTTTCGCACAGGGAGCTGAAAAGAGAGGGGAAGGTGGAGTGTAAAATCGACGGCGTTGTATACAGTTTCAGTGCGGGGATTTGAGATGATGTCATGATGATTGACCTTACTCTGTGCGGGTCCTGTGTGCGAGGATTTGAGATGAAGTCACGATGATTGTCCTTACTCTGTGCCTGTCCTGTGTGCGAGGACTTGTATACAAAGTGAGATGAGTCAGTACACACAGGTTAGAGGTTGATCCAGATGGGGGACCACACCTTGGGCTTGCAGACATAGCCAGTGGGGAGAAGAGAATGCTGTGTGTGTGTCTGATCAGCCAGCAACCTGACCTGGTAGCGGAGTTTCGTGAGAGTTGTTGAGGCGACACCTCTCGTTCAAGGTGTTGCTTGAGAGTCTTAATCCTTTCCGAAGTATGACAAGGTTTGCGTTCATGCCGCTCCATATCTGTGCATGAGAGGTGAGGTGGGTATTTTCTTCTTCATGACATCGGTAGAAGTTGATGAAAGTTTATACTGGTTTTCTTCAAGTTTTAATAATGTTTTATGAACTTTTATCCCTTTTTGCCCCTCGCTTTTTACTAGTAGGCTGTTGTTAACATATTCACACGAGTTCTTCTGATCATCATGATTCCATATGTGCATGGTCTCAGGAGTCCGGAGGTGGAAACATATAGCAATTGGCCAAGGGGGTTGTCCGATTCATCATCTATGTGACCATGGTTGTTATGTTATTATGTAATTAATAATTAATAATTCTACATGCGCAGTTTTTCATTTATTTTTTTGGGGATTGCTATATAATATAGGTATATCTTTTGTATGATGCGGCAATCCTACCTTTCTGTCTTTGGTTGGGGAAGTCTGTGCAGCCTGCAGCTTTTTTGGGGTGTGGTATGAAACGACAGTCTTCGTAGTCTTCTGTCGGGAATGGGGGGGTGATGTCTGCCTTTGAATTTGGGTCATGCATATTGACGCTTGAAGGAGCACAATTATACGGGTAGGGGGCCCTACCGACTGTCGAGGGTCGAGTCCTGACGAGTAGTGAAAGTTCAGTGAAACCGTCCCGCCTCACCACAGCCCCTTGATTTCGTTGTTTGGGCCTGCTTTCCTCTCGGATCGAATGAGGATAACGAACTCGATTATCTAGTGGCTGAACGACATGATTCTCTAAGTCAGCGAGTAATGGCTTGGACTCTTAGGAATGGTTCTGATGGGGTGCGTATACCATCAGAGCGATACAGGCAATCCCTAACGCGCCTTCGGCCTCGGTAAGGCACGAAGAATACACTACACGAGCATCCACCGCCGATGGTTCACTGGGCGGTCTAATGTGTCCGTACGTCCGTTGTCCAAGCTAGTACCAAATGAATGAAACTTGCAAGTTTCAATGTCGGGTTTCGGTGGTCTTCTGTGGGTTTCTGGCAAAACGTGTCATCTTCTAAGTTCTATCACATAATAATCAGCGGCTGGCAGTTCTGTTTTTCACCCGGCTCCTGTCAATCCTTTTTTTTTTTGTTCTCGATTAGACAAACGTCCTCTGCTCTTCTTTCTTTCTCTTTATGTCCACTGTTTCTCCTTTCCCTTCAACGACCAAACACATTCCTGAATAAACACTTGGCTGCCTCAGACATGCGTCAACAATAAAAGTTTTCGAAGTCGTGGCTCGTGAGCCATCGAAAGCTCTGGAATCTATGGATTGTCGACTAAACAGATTGCTGGTGTAGCCAAGGCTATACTCGGTTCTCATATCTGCGTTTGAGTGTTACGAATGAGCCCGGATGTTTCTCACTTGGGGCTTTTGGCGTCATTATCTGCAACAACTGGCTGGATGTTTCTCACTTGGGGCTTTTGGTGTCATTATCTGCAACAACGGGCCGGATGTTTCTCACTTGGGGCTTTTGGTGTCATTATCTGCAACAGCGGGCCGGATGTTTCTCACTTGGGGCTTTCGGTGTCATTATCTGCAACAACGGGTGCAACACGGCCGCAGAGCATCTTCTGGCAGCTGCTGCATAGATCAGCATTCTGCTTTTTAATCTCCTGGGACTCGCCTGACACTTGATGAACAGAGGTGGGGTTTGGTTTGGAAGCCCAGTTTGAGGTTCGGCCGCACAGGTCTGGTGTGCAGAGGTTTGACCCACAGGTCTGGCGCATAGGGGCAGCGGAGACAGGTTCAGTGCTCACAGGTTTTACGAACTGGTCTGGTGCGCACAGGTTCGGTGGAGACAGGTGTGGAGCACACAGGTTCGTTGCGGGTTTGGTTTCCCAGTCCAGTTCGAGGTCTGGGCGCACAGGTTTTACCCACAAGGTCTAGTGTGTACAGGTTTGATCCACAGCAGAGCACAGGCAGATCTGGTGTCGGAGGACAGGTAGAGGGCTGTTGTACAGGTTTGGTGTACAGCGGCATTGGGAGTCGGTCCGTGTGTCTGGGAGGTTTGTCAGTGAGAAGTTGAGAGCCGATAAAAATCAGATGAATGCCACAATTTCACTATCCTCTGTTCTTCCTGTCTAGTGTGTTGATCAGATGAAATGAGTAAATTATTTAGTAAAATACGCTGTGAGAACGGGAAAGAAAAGAAAAAAACATGCTTCCACTCAGTGTCTTTCTTCGTGTTTCTTTCTTTTCTGGGTTTTCTTTTTTTTTTTTCCCCTTTCTTCGGTTTCCCCTTTTTGCAGTGTGTCGATCGTAGCCTTTAATCGTCCATCTCTCCCCCTCTGCCATCCCCCTTACGGAAAGTTTAAGAGACTTGTTTTATAGTCTAAGTGTGACAGATGTTCTGAACCTGAGAGGGGGAGAATCAATGGCATTCATATCAGTCAGCGATGGGTTTTGAAATCTTTACACCTGTGTCGCCACTCATACACCTGGAAGTCTGTACGTGTACACGAGGGACGCTGCACGCAATGTTTCTTCTGGTGGGGGCAGGACCAGGGTGCAATACGTTGCATATGCCTGGCTTCTGTGGCTGAAAGGCTGCAAGAAACCGCGCTTAGAAGCAGTTCAATCTCACCTACGGCCTCCCTCCCCACCGGTTGAATTGTCCTCCTTTCATTGTTTTCAGTTTTGACACACACACACACATACACACACATACACAGAGCAAGGTTGGTGTGAGTAAAGTCGACCACTTTTCTCTCTCAGGGATGGGTATCGCTAACTCTGGGCGACGTGGTGAGTCCTTATCCATCAGTGAAATGCATCCTGGGCAGACTGTCGGGGTTCAACCTCCTGATGAGTCGGTGAAAGTCCGATGAAACAGTCTGGCACAGTCATGTTTTTTTTTAGTGTATAGCAAATATGACAACCCACACAGGTCGGCAGCCTAGGTCAGTTGGTAGAGCACAAAAGTGCCATTCAGGGTCACTGCGGGTTCACCAGCTGAGATAGTGGGCTTGCGCCCCCCAGGTAGGATTGGTCATACATTGCCCGGGGTTAGGAAGAAAGCTGTGGTGCTTAGACACGGGAGGAGGTTGGTGTTAACCCATAACTGCAACAATTGGCAACAACCTGGACTTAGATAAGAGGTTAGGTAGTGTGAGGTATATGAGTGAAGAATATAGCGTAGTTCACACACACACACACACACACACACACACACACACACACACACACAGCCTGCTCTTGCCAAGGAACTATGTATCTGTGATAAGATGGTACCACCCATTTGTGTCCAGTTCTGTAATTTTACAGAAGTGGAACTCAACATAAATAGCAATATGCCTCCAGACCCCAGCAATTGCCCTCGTTGGAAAGCATTTCTACACTCTACTGATATTGTTGATGGTCATGTGGCCAGATACACACAGTTGCAGGTCCTCTTCCTTGAATGCCGACATCATGGATGTGATGAAAACACTGAAGTTCAGTCTGGACAAGTATATTGCCAAGTTCATAGCAACCTTGAGATCAGCACGCAGCAACGAGTCTATAACTGCTTATAGTGTCTCTCAGTTGCGTCGATGGCGTGCAACAATTCTTTCAAGAGGCCAACGGGATTTCTCAATGTCAGCGTACCAGGCACCTACTCAGGTTGCCTCACGAGCTGCCAACGCATCTCTTCAGCAGCTACCGCAGCAAATTGGCATACTACCAGTCGAGGCTCACACAACCTGAAAATTGCTGCAAACGCTGGTACACATACCAGTCATCACAGCATCTCGATAGTCCTGCGTACAGTCGTGCATCAGAGTCTGTGGCCAGCGTCCTCGATGTGCATACACTTTTCAATCAGCGTTGGGCTATCGGCATACTGACACCTTGCCTTGACTTTACTTCGCAGTGTTCGCATGCACACAGATCTCCACCCGCTCTTTGTCCAATCTTAGAGTCGTTCAGCGAAACCACCTTTCTCAATCTGCACCTCATGAATGACTCGCCAACCTTCAGTCTCGAATCTGCATAACAGCCCCCCTCATAAGCCTCTTGCAAGTACAACAGTAGCCTCTCGCGCACTTAGATATGCTCTCCAAGGCCTGATCGGCTCTGCGCAGTAAGAACAATGAGCATTATCAAGAAAGTGGTGTATGACATTGCTGGACCGTGTAAAGTGCTGAGGAAATCATTTTGGATCTAAAGGAGAATGCACACTACCTTCAAGGCCCTACGCCACACACGATGGATTTCATAAAAATGTACACTAACCTGCCACACGACAGGATTCTTAACGATGTCCTAAATGTCATTCACGAAGCACGCAATTGTGCTTTGGTGCTGATTCCACATGGCAAAGGCCAATACAGATGTACATGATTGCTCGAGGTCCCCGTCATGGGGAGTGGGTTACTTCACACCCTTTCAGGGTCAGAAATAGAAGAGCATTTGCGGTTTGTGGCAGAGTTCGCAACTGGGATTTTTAGGAATACCTGTACCTGACCTAACCACACCCTCCTTGAAAACCAACCACCCATACCCACTGTATACCTGGCCTGCCGGACCTTTACCCATCTCCACCTGCTAAAAAAAAAAAACTATACCCAGACCTACCCTACCTGAACCTCTTCAGAATGTAACTGACCATACCTACCCGTGAACAATTTTTKTCAAAACCACCCATGGCCACCTGAACCCAAACCGTTTGTTAACCACCCATGCCCTACCCGACCCAAGTTTTCTTTACCTGTACCCACCCGTACCTACCCATAATTGTATACACCTACCCGCAACCACCTACGCTCGTCGTCCACCCTCCCCTAACCGCCCATATCCGCCCCTAACTGTCCTTAACTGCCCCTAACTGTCCCTAACCGCCCCTCACTGTCCCTAACTGTACCTAACCGCCCCTCACTTTTTTTCTTTCTTTTTTTACGGCCCCTAACCACCCCCAATTGTCCTTAACCGCCCCCAACTATTCCCAACCCCCTACACGTCACAGGATTGACGTGGTAATTTTTATTATTATTAATATTATTATCTTATTTTATTTTTTTCGAGATGTGGCAGCTGCTGCAGCTACTGCCGCAAAAGCAACAATTGTTACATCTCGTCACTCTTTGATGCTTTTATGGATGCATTTGGTGCTACAGCAGCCTATGCAACCTGTATAGCATCTGCAAATACAACCCTCGGTCTGTCGCACACACATACACTCTCTCTCTCTCTCTCTCTCTCTCTCTCTCTCTCTCTCTCTCTCTCTCACACACACACACACACACACACACACACACACACACAGTATTACATACATAGGGTTACACACATATGACAATAGTCTGAAATTTTGAAAAACAAAAATATAAAAATGAAGAGATATAAAATTCACCCTTGCGAGAAAAAACGTTTGCATCATGGGAAAGCGAGAAATTTGGAATATGAGAAAAGCGTCACGCTTGAGCAAAAATACAAAGCCCGCAAAGCTTCAAGACTCACATTGGGTATAGCACGGTTACCCGATCGGAGCCTCTACCCGCTCATACCCACCCCCTTTTTTTTTGTGGCCACCCGTACCTGCCCATACCCGTCTATTTTTTTTTTCTGGCCGCCCATACCCGTTTTTTTTTTTGTACCCCTACCCCTACCTTCCCCTACCCACCCATGATCTCCAAAAAGGGCAACTGTGCGTGCCCTAACAACCACCACCTTTTGTTTGTGCCTGCCCATACCCAACTCCCTCTTCGGAAGGGGTACCCATACCCACCCGTAACCTGCCGGTTACAGTTGGGTACTGCCAGGTATGGGTGACGGTTACCCATTTGCACTCTCTGGTTTGTGGTCTCTAACACTTATCGTTATACAATGGATGGCACCTTGCACCATCAGGTGGTTGGTGTCCCTATGGACACTAACGCTGGACCAGAAATTGCTAATCCTACACTCTATTGGGATGAAGCACAATTCATCGACAAACTTCGCCAGTGAGATCTGTACGCAGCACGAGCATATGCATTCACATATCGGTTCATCAATGATATCCTATCTTGGGTGACATCTTCGCTCCCTCCTGTTCAATATGGTCTTGGGTGGAACGAGACCACTGAGTAAGATGGGTCACGACTCTTCCTTGGGGCAAGAAGTTTGGAAGACATCTCCTCCTCCTGGTCAATATGGTCTTGAATGGAAAGACACTACTAAGCAGGATGGGTCATGTCTCTTCCTTGGGGCAAGAATCTTGGTTCGGTCAGACGGCTCGATTCGGATTGGTGTGTTTGATAAGGCTGAGGCTTGGACATTCCCTGTCATATGCCATCCTAATGCTTCATGGGACAAACAAGGTTCGAGCATATCTCTAATAATACCACCCACTTTGGAGCTTTAGTGACCTCCTTGGCAAAATGTATGCTTGCTAGAGGTCATCCTTCTAGTGTCTTGGCCAAAGGTTGGACTACATATTGCGTGGCCGGCAACATCGGTTTCCCACGTACGAACTGGTTTCGCCGCATGGCGCGCTGGTTAATTGCTCACCCACGGTCGAATGCTACTTCTGCTCGTAGGCAACACTAGTCCTCCACGAAGCCACATGCGGTGGGCCCCTGCCCACTCCCTAACATCAATTATGAGTCAAGTCAGCCTTAGTCCTCCACACAGCCAAATGCAGCGGGTTCGCCCTCCCCTACTACGCCTAATGGAATGACAGCTGGTAATGTGGATGCTAAAGCACAACTGGAAACCAAGACAGGCGTCACAAACAACGTAGTGTTGCCAAAGTGGTTGTAGGGGATGATGGCGTGCATGCTGCCAACACAAGTGTTGTTGAAACAGTACCTCCAGCAGCAGCAGCACCACCACCACCACTACCAGCTCCCCCACCCACATCTTCTACCACATCATCCCCTTCATCAACCGACTCTTCTTCCTCCTCTTCTTCCTCCTCCTCATCCTCCTCCTCACCCTTGCATGCCTCCCCTTCATTATTGTCTTCATCATCAAGATGTCACAAAAATCATGTTGGCAAAAACATTTATAGTCAGATTGCCCATCAGATTCGATCGAGGCGCTCCCTATCTCCACCTTCGCCTTTTAGACAGCGGCTTGGTTCGTACCGCCGAGCTATTTGGGGCGTCGGTTTTTATCGCCCGATCCTACTCATCTTGATTGTTGCATGCATTTTAACCTTGTGGTTGGTCTACC